TGTCTTTAATTCTCCCTTTCGCATGAACTGAACAGTAATAACTATGGATACAAAGTAAAAAAAAAAAATTTTCCCAAAAAAAAAGAAACAGGTGAACCAGACGATCCGAAAAATTATAGGCCAATAAGATGTCTGTCCACCACGTATAAATTGATCATTATGTCCTGACAAACTGCACTTACAATTTTCTGGAAAAAAAAAAACATTCTCCCCCTGGAACAGAAGAGATGCCGGAGAGGTTAATATGGTTGCAAAGTTCAACTAATTGTAAACAAAGTTACTCTGATAAAATGCAGGAAAGGATGTAGAAATTTCAGAGCATCATGGATAGATTACCGTAAATCCTTGGATAGTGTGCCTCACTCTTGGATCTTTAAGGATTTGGAAATGTAAAAATGTCTTCTCGCTGATAGCAAATTTCCTTAAACACAGCATGGGAATGTGGAAAACCACATGATACTTAAATCACGCCAGAGGCACTGCCACCTCCAACCGTCTGAATATCCGACGAGGAATCTTTCAAGGAAACCCCGTATCGCCCCTTCTGAACTAAATTAGTAATAATTATGGATACAAAGTGAAAAATAAAGTGTTTAATCCGTTATTCTACATGAATAATCTCAAACCATTTGCCAAAGACGACAATGAGTTGAAGGGTCTCCTTAGTACTATAAAATATTTCAATGATGACATCGGTATGGATTTCGGATTAGATAAATGCGAAAAAGTAACATTCAAGAAAGGGAGAATTACAGAAACGCACTGAAGAGAACTAAATTTTGTCACAAAGATTAGGGAACTGGAACAAGGAGAAGCCTATAAATGACTAGAAGTCTGCGAAGGAGATGGAAAACAACATACCCAAATGAAGGAGAAAGTAAGAAAAGGCGTGAGTTGAATTCACAAAACAGAAAATCATCCATAAACGCTTTGGCTGTTCCTGTGGAGCAATACAGTTTCGACATCCTTAATTGGATCATAGCTGACATTAAGCGAATGAATGTCAAAACGGGAAAGCTTCTTACTTGCTACTGCATGCATCATCCTAAGGCTGATGTTGATCGTATGTATGTGACCAGATCCGAAGGAGGCAGAGGATTAGTTCAACTAGAACTGTCTTACAAAAATAAAGCAATCGGACTTCAAAGATACCTGGAAACTACACAGATCTGTATCAAAGAACATGAAATAAATAAGAAAACTTGCAAATATATCATAATACACCTATTGCATATAAAACTCGTCATTTTAGAGTGAGCCAATATCTGCACTGGAAAATATGCAACTTTTACGGGAAGGAAACTACAAGAAACTGGTGCGAACATCACCCAGACTCAGTTACAAAGATTGGACCTGTAACATTATACACAGACAGAACATACAACATTTAAATTAACATTGTATTCATCATTTCTCGAACATAGAAGAAGTGGAAGAAGAGGAAGAAGTAGTAGGAGAAGAGGAGGAATAGAAAGAAGAGGAGGAAGAAGAACTGAAAGAAGAAAAAGAGAAGTAGATGTGAGAGAAGAAACAGAAAAGGAAGAAGAATAAGAAGGAGAAGAAGGAGAAGAGGAAGCAGAAGTAGAAGTGGAAGAAGAAGAGGAGGAGGAAAGATAGGAAGAACAGAAAGAGGAAGAAGAGGAAGGGGGGAGGAAGAATTAGTAAAAGTAGAAGAAGAGGAGGAGGAAGAAGAAAAAGAGAAAAAAGAGAAGAGGAAGAAGAAGAAGAAGAACTGAAAGAAGAAACAAGAGAAAGATATGTGAAAGAAGAAGGAGGAGGAGGAGAAGAAGAATAAGAAGAGGAGGAGGAAAGATAGAAAGAAAAGGAAGAGGGAGAAGTAGGGGGAGAGAAAGAATTAGTAGAAGTGGAAGAAGGGGAGGTGGAAGAAGAAGATGCTGGATATGAAAAAGAAAAAGAGAAAAAAGAAGAGGAAGAAGAAGAAGAACTGAAAGAAGAAAAAAGAGAAATAAATGTGAAAGAAGAAGAAAGAGAAGAAGAAGAAGAAGAAGAAGATGAAGAGGAAAGATAGGATAAAGAGGAAGGGGAAGAAGAAGAGGAAGAAGAAGAATTAGTAGAAGTGGAAAGAGAAGAAGAAGAAGAAAAAGAGGAAGATAAAAACAAGGATACGGAAGAAGAAGAAAAAGATGAAGGAAGAGGAGGAGAAAAAGAAGACGAATAATAATAATAATAATAATAATAATGATGATAGCTTTCAAATTCGGATTTTATTCATCATTTCTCGACGATGTTTACAGTAAATTGAATTTCTCAGTAAAAAACCGCCGCATGGACAAGTGGTATTGATTTCTATTCGAAATATCTCAGCAAATATCATTAGTTTTAATGCTTGTGACGTTTTCTATGTGTGTCTTTGTCCATAAGTTTATCACTTTGCCCCAGCGATGGCCAAAGGCAAGATGAAAGCAGATATCTTTAATGTCTGAATCCATTACCAAATTTTATTACAGCATCTGCTGAGAGAAAAGAGACACCTAATAGAGTTTAATAGAGTGAGAGAGAAAAAAAAAATGAAAAGAAAAAAAAAACAGAAAACAAACAAACCAAAAAACAAATAAACAGAATACTGCTAATAAAGTGGCGGGAAAATCCCGTAGGACTAAAACTTGAGCGTACACCGCGATCTCACAGTTTCATCGACGCCGGAGTCCATATTTGTAATAAATATAATTGGCAAGGTAGTTTTTCGGGAGTCATTGGCAGCGAATCTCCGGTTTGGGACGACCGAAAGATGATTTGATAAAATAAAACCAACATACAACGCAAGAAGAAGAAGAAGAAGAAGAAGAAGAGAAAGGAGAAGAAGAAGAAACAGAAGAGAAAGAAGAAGAAGACGAGGAAAAAGAGAATGAAGAAGAAACAGAAGAGGAAAAAATAAAAAAAAGAGAAGAAAGAAGAAGAAGAAGGAGAAGAAGAAGAAGAAGAAGAAAAATACGAATTTTCCCCAAAGATTTAAGAAGAAGAGGAAGACGAAGAAGATGAGAAAGAAGAAAAAAAAAGAAAAAGGAAAACGAAGAAGAAGAAGGGAAAAACTAAGAAGAAGAAGAGAAAGAAGAAGAAGAGAAAGAAGAAGAAACAGAAGAGGAAGAAGAAGAGGAAGAAGAAGAAGAAGAAGTAGTGGAAGACGAGGAAGAAAAGAAAGAAGAAGAAACAGAAGAGAAAAACGAAGAAGAAGAAGAAGAAGAAGAAGAAGAAGAAGAAGAAGAAGAAGACGACGACGAGGAAGAGGAAGAACAGGAAGACCAGGAAGACCAAGAAGAAGAAAAAGAGGAAGAAGAAAAGGAAGAAAAGAAGAGGAAGAAGAATAGGAAGACGAAGAAGAAAAGGAAGAAGACAACAAAAAACGTATTTAAGCACGAAAATCTCTAAAATAGAAGCAATAAACAGTTTTAGTAAAATAAATAACAAAAAATTATATACAAATATGACATCTTTCTGGGGACTTTGGTAATCGTTGTTATGATTAAAAAAGTTTATTTCTCGTTCAGAATTTCATAAAACCAATTTATCCTGCCTTTTAGAGGATGTGAATTTATTCATTATTTGAAATGAAAATTCCTCACCACAAAATAGTCTTACTTTTTTTAATATTATTATTATTATTATTATTATTATTATTATTATTTTTTTTTTTTTTTTCTGGCGTTTACAAATTTCTTTCCATTTCCCGCCCAAATTTTGAAGGTTAGAAATGGCGTCATGACACTTTGCACTGACAAAAAAAAAAAAAAAAAAAAAAATTACATAGATAAAAGCCCTTCGTAAGGTGTGGGCTGTACTTGTCAGAACAATTTTTTTATCTCCTTGAGGCATGGACTTCCAGGAATTCCTTCAATTAGTCTACTGTAATCTTTTCCAACCAGTCCTAGGGCTCCAACTACAACAGGGATTGTTGATGTTCCCATATGCCACATTTTCGACGATTTCTATTTCAAGGTCCTTGTATTTTGACAACTTTTGAATATCTTCAAAGATACATTGCAGTCAGCAGGGACTGCCATATCAATAAGGAAGGCACCGTTTTTGTTTGTGGTCTTTTATAACAATATCTGGCCGGTTGGCCTTGATTGTTCTGTCAGTGTGTATTGTGTAGTCCCATAGAATTGTAACAGGTCCTATCTCCGTAACCGGGTCTGGGTGGTGTTCATACCAGTTTCTTTCAGTTTTTTTCCCGTAAAGTTGCAGATTTTCCAGTGCAGATATTATTATAACTCTGTCATGTCGGGTTTTTTATATTCAGTGGGTGCCAACACCGTACAACCTGCTACAAGATGATCAATTTTTCTATTATTATTATTATTAAAAAATTAAATTATAACATAACCCTAACCCTCTCAAAAAAAACTCGATGTATTTAATACTGAAGTATTTTTTAAACTGTATGAACCTAATTTCTCGGGTGCTTATGCAGATTATCCGGATATCAGGGACGTGCCGTCTACGTAGGCAGTGACTACCCTGATAAAATAGACCAGTAATGAGTAATTACTGACGGTAATGACTGACGGATATATAGGATGGATAACAATTGCTTTGACTTCATGAGGTTAAGATTCTAGTGATTAGGAAATACCCTCTCGGGTGTCTGCTGCAGAAAGTAGTTCTCGGGAAGAAGCTATCTGGGTAGAACTTCATTCTTACCAATGGAATACAAAAGGAATGGCATGGCGGCTCTGATCTGTAATGGTCTGAACTTGTAGTACCAAAGAATATCGCTCGTCAGATGATTTCCAATTGAAACAACAAAATGCTTACGATGTTCCGTCTATAGGAAAGGACCTGTGGGATTGAAAATAATCCATCGCCCACAAGGCCGCGTAAACGCTCTGAAATTTCTCAAGACTGGAAAGTGGGGATTGAATAGCGCCAGTCCAGGTATGGCAACAATATTCCGTTTTTGGGGGTCTGATCTGGCTGTTGTAAATATGCAGCATAACAGGAGGTAGGTACTTTTCCTGAACGCTGCAAGCTTACGGCTACATCACGTTCGCGTACGATCATCTAAGTTAAGCAATGTCGAGCCTGGTTAGTACGGAGATGGGTGACCGCTCGGAATACCAGGTGTTGTAAGCCTTGAACTTGTGGGTGCCGTAATGGATAATGGCTCTGAACTGTTAATATAAATTAGGATCGTTATATTCACTTACGTGCAAATAATCTTGAGAAAGATATGAATACTTTTGGGATGTCAACGAACACTCGGTTGACACTTTTGTAATGTCAACGAATACTCATTGTCACTTTCGTAATGCTCATTGTAGTAGAGACTTTGTAATCGCAGATACAACTATAGTAACGCTGTTGAACAATACTGGTGTCTGACGCCTTCGAATATCACTCGCACTAATAGTACTTGCTTGATAATACTCGCTCGAATAGTAATCCGTATAGTGATCCGAATAGAAAAAAACAATATAGTGAATAGAGTAGAGAATAGCGGTCCGTATATTAATAGAGGATAGAATAGAAATGGCGATCCGAATAGTAATAGAAGATAGACTAGAAATGGAGATTCATTAGACATCACGCTATTTTCTACTTATACATTTCCTCTATAGGCCATGGATCCATTTAATTCAATAATGGGATCGCCTGTGTTTGCTCACTGGCGATCTATGTCCAAACTCAAGTTTCGGCAGCAACACTTTATTCCTTTATGACAAATAAAAATCTCCTCACAACTATGAGTTAATTAGTAAGATTTACATCACTAAACCATTCGAACATTAAAATAAAACTGTGTACAAAATATTTAGATTTCAGCATGAAATAACCCATAGAGGTGTTGATATGTCGCTAAAGAAAAACAACTAACTACCAACCGGAGTGGTAGAAGTAGCCATGACATTTTGTCCAGCGTCTTTAGCGATGTAAACTACATGACTACTATACGAGATCGAGGAAGAACTTTGAGGCCAGTGGACGTTCAAGTTGAGAAGTCGCATTGCGTGGTACAACCGTTCGTTTGAATTATATTAACTGTAGGGTCTGCTAGTAAATGCTGGGACGTTACTAGTTTCCTTATGGAGGCATTGAATATGATATGACAAGACAGCTTTTCACCGTTTGAGATGCGAGAGGAAAGATCGGATGCCACGATCTGATCCCCAAGTTCAGACATGGGCAACCTTTTTCGAGCAGTGGGCCGTATGATCAAAGATTCATCACAAGTCGGACCGCACTACTAAAAACATTCATAGTAAATTTTCGCTGTAGGTACCTCAGCTATTTTTCCTACAGAAGAATATATGTATGAGGTAAGCCTATAAGTTCTGTCCGAATTTTGAATAAAGAAAACAAGTGACCAAATGTTACATTTAATTACAGATTCAATCAACAATGTATTTTCCCTGATTATCTATGACTTCCTTCCATCTATTAACAAGCTTACTAATTCCATTACTGTAAAATTCTTTTGGCTTTGATTCGAAGAACTCACAAATGTCAGTTTTAACCTCTTCCCGTGTTACAAAAGCAATTTCTTCCAAATGATTCTGTAAGCTACGAAAACAAATGGTAGTCTGAAGGAGCAAGATCAGGAGAATAAGGTGGATGAGGAATTTTCTCCCAACCAAGTTCTTCGATCTTTTTTGTGACGTGATTCTTGCTATGTCGGGTCGCGCATTGTCCTGATGAAACATCACCCTTTTCGATTCACTAGAGCAGGTCTTTTTTTTTTCCTCAAAGCTTGGTTCAAATGCTCTAATTGCTGACAGTATATTTGAGCATTAATTGTTGCATTAGGTGGTAAGAATTCAAAGTGGATTATTCTTGGCGATCCCACCAGATTGAAAGAAGAAACTTTTGCCCATGAAGTTCCCTTCTCGGCTGTGGCTGGGGTCCTTCCCTTTACCAATCCACTGTCTACGACGCTTAACATTTCGATAAAAATCCATTTTTCGTCGCCAGTCACAAGTCTATCCAAAAAAAGGTGAAACAAGTTGGCGAGAATGGAGAGAAGAGCAGATGTCAATTCGAGGATTTGAGGTTGTTTTCAGACAATTCATGAGGCACCCATTTTCCAAGTTTAGGAACTTTTCCAAGTTGTTGAAGATGACGATGAACAGTTGTATGGTTTGAACTGAGAACCACTGCCAATTCCTCAACTGATAAAGCAGGATTTTTTTCAAGGGCTGCTTCAAAAAGCTTTTCATCAAACTCAACTGGACGTCCGGTTCGATCTTCATCTTCAAGGGTGAAATCTCCACCTCTGAATTTTGCAAACCATCTTCTGCAAGTTCTTTCATTCACACGTTCCTTTCCATAAACGGAGTGAATGTTTCTAGCCGCTTCGGCTGCTGAGTTTCCTTTCTTGAACTCATAAAGCATTATGTGCCTCAAATGATTCTTGGGTACTTCGATTTTAGCAGGGTTTTAATGAAACAAAATTATTGTTCTCTGAAATAAAATTTGATCAGTTTAAATGCATCTAAACAAAAATAATGTTCAGCTCCATTAGACATTATAAAATACTCTTTAAATTTCGTTCATTTTAACAAAAAGTTAAAATTTGGACAGAACTTATGGGATGGCCTGATATAAGCATATAGCTTAGAAATGAGAGGAAAGTTT